GGGGTGCGCACGCGCCGCGCTGCCCGGGCCCGCTGGCGGCTTCTAGCCAGCCCTGCTGGACCCTGATTATTTTCTGCGAGATGTTGCACGTTGGTAAGGAAACTACTAGCGTCCAGCGAAGATGGGAGGATGGAGAGAGAAAGAAAAAAAATAAAACCAAACCAAAATGAAACCAAAAACCATTGGAAGCTTTCTACCTAGCTATTAAAATGAGTCAGGCTGTGAATGCACAGACTAGCCTGCCCTTTGTGGGGCTAGCCACTATGCTACAGTAAAATGTACAGGAATCAAACATTAATTTAAAACCCCTTAGCAGTTAACTTGCTCGTCCAGCAGAGTGCTGCAATGCCCCATGTCACCCATGATAGCTCAAACACCTACTGAGAGGAGGGCATTTCATGCTGGAGTCTCTAACCCACCCATGGGCTGGCCAAAGCCTTTGGGTGAAAGGTGAAGTGGTGTCAAGTGCCAGACTCTCCTTCACGAGAAGGAGCCCAGGAGACTGAGCCCCACCTTGCCACCAACCACCTCTGAGCGGAGCAGCAACCGGGGCTTTCATTGCTACACACTGCCTACGAAGCACGTCTGTGTACGGAAGAATTCAGTGTGGTCTTACTACTGAGATAGTAATAAAGATGTTTTGGAGTAATTTCAACTACATTCTCAGTCAGCAAAGCAATCATTAATGGATTCCTATTTTATCTCCCCAAAGAGAGGAAAAGGATTGAGAAGTTCTCATTGGCTTCTCCCATCTGCCCTTCGTTCTCAGCTTGTACTTCCCATGTGGCTGGGGACATGCACAATGGAGAAGGTGAGAGGCGGTGACAGAGTTACTGAGTGAGACAAACGGCAGCTCCGCTCTCCCTCGTAGGGCCCAGGGCAGGGAGAGTTCCTGATGGTGGTTTTTTCTTGCACTGCAGACGTTTTGTGCACACTCAGTGGGTTGGTGGAGCACTTACGCCCTCCTGACAGCAAGGAACAGAGGAGAGGGCTGCCACCTGCACAGGACTGTGTGGGCCAGTCCTGCAAACCCAACATGCCATGGTTTATGGAGCCTTTGGTTGCAAGGGTTGCCACCTTCTGTCTCAGTGTGGTGGGTTCATGGCGCCTTGTCCGCGCTGCTGCTTCTGCTTCTGCTGCATTAACAGCTGCTCCAGGGCTGAGGGTCCAGGGTGCATCATGGAACTGGACCAGATGGACTGAAAAAAAAGAGACAACACTAGCACCTCCTTGTGTTAAGACATCCCTCCTCTTACAGACAAAGCAGAGAGAGACTCCATCCCAGAGGTCTTCTCCAACCTCAACGATTCCATGATTCTGTATTCTCCCACTGCTCTTTATCACTCATGAAAATTAGCCAGACTTCAAAGAACGCCTTCTAAGGAGAGGCTCCCTAGAAGAAGAGTATCCTCCTCCAGAATCCTCATTATCATGAAAATTCATCCCACATTAACGATTACTAATTTTAGACTAGTCAAAGCAAATGTCATAATTCCTTCCAGTTCTGCTAGCCTGGTCTTGTTCCACAAAATATTGTAGAACAGAGAGAACTGGAACAGAGTGACATCTTCCAGCACTGGTCACACCTCCCACATCGCCTGCACAACAAAATGTGCAGGAAAAAAAACAGGTCCTGACGCTGAACTCTGGTGCTTGCCAGAGTCGCTGGGTAATGCCCATCACTGCATCTTCTGGCCCCACAGACAAGTACCCATTGCTGAGCACAGCTTCAGCCAAACGTACCTTCAGGCTCTCCATAAGCACAGCTGAGGAGTCCTCCATAGCGGGGGGGCCTTGGGCTGCCCAGGTGCCACTGGGAGCACTGGACTGGTGCCAGCTGCTCTCCGAAGGTGACGACGTTGCTGGGAGATAGTCCAGACCAAACCCTCCCATTGCTAAAACAGGAGAAAGACAAGTTTAAAGGAAGGTAGCAAAGCCACTGCCAGACAGACACCACCAGCCGGCTTTGCACGGGCCTGGACCCCAGCACTTGCCTGGCTTATCCGTTTTCCAGCGGTCTGCCACTCTCCTGTCTCTGTTGTCTGGAGTCCCAATAGGTCCAAAGTTGGAGAAGGGAACAGAATTGTGGTTATGGGTTGGAGGGGAGCTTGGCAAGCTGCTGGGGTTTGAGGAGTGAGGAGACTGGCTGGCTGGTGTCGAATGATCTAGCGATTACAAGACAAAACAAAAAAAGTTAACAGAAACAGAAGGAGCCTCACAATTTTGAATTTTTTAGTTCTGCTGGAAATCCTGCCATCAACCAGTTCTCTCTAATGCTGAAGGTCAATTTTTATTCCCTCCATTATGTGAGACTTCGGCAAATTCCCAAGTTCTAAGTGACAATTTTTCTGCTTATACAAGAATGGAATGACTGTGTTTAACACATACATGTGCTTACCAGAAAAAAACAAACCCTAGGAAACCGCACAAGGGCTGGCTAGCCAAAGCAAGCTTTCCCCATGTTCCTTGAATTTTTCACAGAATCACAGAACCATAGAATGCTCTGGGTTGGAAGGGACCTTTCAAGGTCATCTAGTCCAACTCCCCTGCAGTAAGCAGGGACATCTGCAACTAGAGCAGGTTGCACAGAGCTGTGTCCAACGTCACACTGAAAGTTTCGAGGGATGGGGCAGCTACCACCTCTCTGGACTATGTGGGCCAGGGTCTCACCACCCTCAGCGTAAAATATTTCTTCCTTCTATTCAGTCTAAATCTCCCCTCCTTTAGGTTAATACTGTCGCCCCCTATCCTGTCACAACAAGCCCTGTTAAAAAGTCTGTCCCCATCTTTCTTATAGGCCCCCTTGAAGCACTGGAAGGCTTCAAATAAGGTGTTCCTGGAGCCTTCTCTTCTCCAGGCTGGACAGCCTGATGTCTCTCAGCCTGTTCTCACAGCAGAGTGGTTCCAGTCCTTGGATCATTTTTGTGGCCTCCTCCTGCCCTGCTCCAACAGGACCATGTATTTTCTCACACTAAAAAAAGAAATCTCTGGCTTCAAGCCTGACAAGCCAGTAAAAAAAATGACATTAGACCTTGAGGAGTTTGCAAGTTTACAACTCAAACTCCCAAGTGTGTGAATGTTTTCAGCTTCTATGGGTCTTAAAGCAATTCAGACCAGAAGCTAAAACTGAGCAGAAGAGGAAAGCAGGCACAGAAAAGCTGATCTGCAGGCAGAGGGGAGCAATGCCTGAAGACTCCACCACACAGGGCAGTGGCAGGGGACCAAGGGCTTGAGTGAAGAGGTGAAGGGAGAGAAAGCTGAAACCATGTGAGCCATAAATCCTGTTACAATAAGAGCACTTTGCAGCTCCTTCTGTTTCCCTTGAAAAAGTTATTCCTGGTTGGTTGCAAAACTCAGTGTAACTAAGACCCAAAACTCATCTGGTGCAGATGGTATTTAAAATCCATTCTGTTCTTAGTTTCAATTAATTCCTCCCCTCACACTCTTCTGGATTTTTAGTGAGAATAAAATAATAATATAAGAATTATGTGTTATGCTTCTAAGATAATTACTATGGAAAAAAGCTGGTTTGCTTTGTATGATGCTTAATAGTAAGAAAAAAAATAAAATTCTATTTTCCTCCACACTATTTCCAGTTGTGCAGTTTCTCTTTGAAATATCCACATTATGAAATGCAGTCCCTCCTACTTTTTCCACAGAAATAACACTAAGTGTACAGATGTTTGAGCTAAAGCCCTGCTCCCAGATGCTTGTCAGGAACTTAAGCTAAAGAGATCTCAGGGTATAACACCTCCTACAACTTTTATCCTGCTCAAATATTTTAATTAAAATCCAGGTTCTTATACTATATTAATTACAGGATCATCTCTTATTTCTGAGGATATATAAAGAAAAACCAACAGAAACCTTCAGGTTTTTTTTTTTTTTTTTTTTTTTAATAACTGCAATCCTCTTAAATCAGCAGACAGAAGAAAGACCATCCCAGGATTACCTGAGCTGGCTGGAAGGGATGGAGACCACGGAGTCCCTTCAAAGAGAGAATATAGTGAAGTCTCCTGATGGGCAACTGAAGGGGTGACTTCTGGTTTTGTGCTGGTATTCATGTTTTTCCCATATACCTCATTGAACATGCTGTTATTTGGGTATCTTTCCTAAAAAAAAAAAAAAAGTTCAGATATTGGATTTCAAACACTAAGACTATACAAAGGAAACAATTCTATATCAAAATATTTTCCTAACTCCTTTTTCACTCCACAGTCCCCTGTTCTCTGACCATTTTATTTAACATGAACTCCATTCACATTCTGAGTGAGGATACATTTCTCCCAGCTGAACTGCAAAGCCTTCACAAAACCTTTCAATCCCCAGTACTCACAAACATGGTATCAAGATCCTGCTCCATCCTCTGGAAGAGAACAAGTAATCCACTGCTCAGGAAATAAAACCCTACACACCATAACACTTTGAGATGCACCTTTTCTGTTAACTCCACAGTTCTGCTCAGAGCACGGAGCGCATGAACTCAGCCAGATTCAACAGTACATCTGCAGACTGATAGCTAGGGAAAATTTGGGGAGACAGCTGATAAAAACAAAGATAAACTTGCTGATAGAGACTGAAATTAGGCACCCATATGGATTTCTTTCAGGTTTCCCCGTGGTTTGAACTAAAGGCTATCCTCATGTTTGTCACGTTACCTAGTTTAATGGCAAGCTCAAACAGCAAAGGGCTGCACTTTGGTCTTCACTTACCTGATTAAGGGAAAAGCCACTGAGGGACAGGAAAGATGATGACTGAGACATCAGCTCTGATGGTTTTTCCAGCAGGGACTTCTTCAGAAACCCAAAAAGGGGAAAGGAACAATTAGTGTTCAGTGTAGTGAGTAGGAGGAAAGCATGCTATCAGAAACTGCCATGGTGCCTTTGATCATATTTAAGATCTGCTCAGTCTTTTAGCTCCAGCATCTTGGAGGACAGGGGAAGCAAACTAACAAATGCAGAAAGACAGTAGTTTCTTTACTAACTGTAGTTAATCTCTAAAAATCAATCACATGACAGCTGAGTCTCAAGCAAAGTCTGCTGCCAGAACAGCTTTACAAATCTTAAGTGTAAAACTGATACATCTAGAGAGGAGATTCCTGCAAAAAAAATCCTATGGTTGCCTAAAAGCTCATACAAATGAGACAGGATCCTTCCCAGTGATCAGAGGACTCCTTCAAACATGATTAGACTCTTGCATGTTGCTATCAACAGGACATTTTTCAGTTTTGAGAGCATCCCTGCTGTACAGACGTTTCTTAGCAAGAACAGCCAAGTGCTGTGATTTTTAATTGGGTTAAACAGTCCAAGTTTCATTTAGTGCTCTCTCATTTTCATTATAAATGACTATAGAGAGGAAGAAAAAATCCACAACCCAGTGTTTAAAACAAGGTTCAAAAAATCCCTTGGGGGTTCCACGTTAAAATACTATGGACCATGACCTTTCCCATCATCCACTGCCCGCTCCATACAGTCACTATTGCCAGCATAGTATTTCCCAGCTTCCTCTTTGGTTCTTACTGTGTGTGATCCAAAACAAAAGGTGTGGTCTCATTCCAAATAAAAGCCCTCTTGCACTCATACCAGCTTGGCAAGTCAGACATTTTTAAATCAATTGTTCAAACAACAAACACCTGACCTAGCATCCCTCTCTAATGTTATCTCAAGATCTGGAATATCTTTGCTTTTATCTTGTAAACTTCAGGCAAATAGCCTCATTTTCTTGGCAAGCAGCTCCTAATTTGTTAGATTTTCAAAGTGACAACTCATTACTTTGAAAGCACATTTTAGAAGGCAGACAGAATTCACACTCTGCACATCCACACAGCTTGCACAGAGAATTTCCTTCCATTTGTCAGCAGACGGCAACAGTAGGAGCTTCAAAAGGAAGTTGCTGAAGAAGCAGCTGTTAGTTCCTTAGCAAAAGTATCTAGTGAGACAGAAATGGGTGTCTGTTTTGCTACTGGCTCATTGGCATGACATAGAAAATAACTGAGGAAGAGATTTATTCAGACGTTTTGAGTCACAAATAACTCTTCTTTGTTACTGTTACTGATCTAAACCAGGAGTGTTTGTTGAACATACTTGCAGCCATACTAGAAAAGACATACTACATTTTCAGGGGCAATTTACAATTTGGCAGCTCTAAGACCCTCCAGCTAGTGAACTAAGGAGGTTTTAAATGCATAAATACAGGAAAAAAAAAATATACTTCAGCCTGTCAAAAATGACTATTTCTATAGGAGTAATGACTGTATTTCTATAGGAGTTAATGATTTCTTAGCCAGTTGCTTGCAATTGTCTTCCAAAGCCATCCTGCCCTTTTAAAATCTCTTCTGCTTTTAGTAGGGCAGCTTCCCCCTGACTTTGAGGAATTTTTATAGGATTGTAAGACACACTTATTCTGATGACTTCCCCCAGGTGAACCTGTGCTCCCCTCTATGACTAAGTCCACACAACTGCAGAAGAGCAAGTGCATTAAATGATGCATTAATGTCTCTCCTGGGGAGTGGACTTGCAAAAAACCCCCATGGTCACTCTGATTTCTGAACAAATTAGTGGGCCAAAGTTTGGCCCAGGAGCTCTACCATGGGATTTCAGCTGGTCTGAGCTCTCATGTGAAGACTAGCTCAAGGGTGAGGCTGGGAAGTGGACAGAAAGTATGGGGCAGAGAAAAAGGAATTTCACATTTCTTAAAATTTCACAGAAGAAAGAGATGCCAGTTAAGAGTGAGAAGCAGCAGTATTACATCAAATACATACAAAGAGGCTTCGTCCAGGAAGAGAGGCGAGAGGCCCCAGCAGAGCTGGGTAAAGATCAGGAGGATTAGAGAAAATCAGCTCTTCCTCCTCCTCCAAGGCAGCCAGACTCTTTAACAGGTCCGGAGGAAGCAGAGGGGAGCTCTTGGGGTCCTAGTGACAGAAATGAGCACAGTGAGACAACAGAAGGCAGAAAGGGGACCAGCAAGAGTGTTGAGGAGAGGCTAGGCCACAGCAGGACGAGAGGAAGCAGCGAGAGCGGCAGGCAGCAGCATGCAGAGATGGCAGGGTGAGGAAGTGGTGCAGCAGAACATGTCGAGGGACACAGAGCACTGGGCAGAAAACCTGAGTAGCCCTGTGGGCTAACGAGCAGTGGGAGGAGCACTGCACCACCACAGCCATGGGCAGCTGGTTTTAATCAGTGGAGCGTGTGCTTCCCATTGCACCCGTGCCAAATACTGAACCCGTTTTCACATCTGAGGGCAGGGAACACAAAATGTTCATTTATTGTTCTAAAGCTGGCCCAAGAGTAATTTAGGTTTCAAGTAAAATTACATTTGCATTTTCTTCCTTCCTCTATTTGGGGAGTTTAAATCCCACAAGAATTATTTCCACAGCTAACGGCTGCTGTTACAACACAGAGCTGACCAGACCATTGGGCCAAAGCACCCTGCATCCTGACATGCACCTGGACACCTTGACTTTTGTGAGGGATGCTTAAAATACAAGCATGACTGGCACACTTCTGCCTATACAGCACCATGCTTGCACCAAGGCACAGCTTCCCTTTTAGGGATGAGAACAAGGCTTTGACCCCATCTCCATCTAAAAACCACAGGCTGACATCAGGGCAGAGGCAGACTCCTGTACATTGTCTGGCTTTTCTCTCTGAAGGATAAGCCAAGTGATCTCAGCTGACCTGAAAACTCTGAGTCCATTTACAGAGATGCATCTGCGCAAAGGTTTAAAGAAGCCTCTGTTTAAGTTTCCTTATAAACATCACTGAAAGCACTCACAGACAACTGTTAATAACAAAGACTGCAGGTTTTATAAAGAGCAAAACGATGCACAGCTGCATGAACAGAAGCAAAGGATTCCATTAGTGCAGCCAAGAGCTAAGGGAGTCGTTCAGCTCCCTCACTGTGTGGTGGGATTTGCAGGAAAAATCAACAAAACCATCAGTCTAAGGAAAGAGGGCTCCTACCATCCTCAATTTCCAGCCTCAGTCTGACTTACAAGAATTACACCTGCTTGAAATCAAATCTTTGAGATCCAGATCCCACAAACAGCCAACTAACATTAAACTAGATTCATCAGTGTTTGCTGGAATCCCCTGTACCAATAACCAGCTCCCTAGTAGGGAGCTCACATTGACCTTCTTGGGGCTACAAGGCACTCCTGAAACAAGGACAGTCCTGGAGCTGTTAGGAACATGAGAGCCTTGCTGGTTTTCACCACTTAGAGCATGGATCTTTACCTCAAAGGTCATCCTGGAGACAGCGTCCTGCTCTGGGCGGAAGACTCCTTGCCGTTTCCCCCTGCGGTCCACGTTAGGCTGCTGTGCCATCACCCTACTGTCAGCCATGCCATAGGAAGAGTCCCAGTAATACTCTGGCACCTTGACTTCTGAGGGGTTCTGGTTATATGGCTCCATTGGGAAAGGCTTCATTTTTTTCTCCAGAGGTTGCTGTTGCATCACAGGAGGCTGTAATGACTGTTCAAATAATTTTAGAGGGTCCTGGGCCTGCAGGTAATAGGACTGCTTTACAGGCATGATCTTCCCCAGTGAGCCTTGGACTTGAGGCGGGTTCCAGAGCTGCTTCGAGGAGTCTGTCTGCGGATACTGAGGCAGAGAGGCAGCATTTCACCAGCAGGTAGCAGCAGTTACTGTTAACCGAGTGCCTAATTCCACTCAAACTGTCAGTCTGGCTCACTTGTGATGGACATTTCACAAACATTCTCTTTTCCTGTGTTATTCACCAAAATGCAGTCTCGGAAGGCATCTAATGCTCCCTAGTCAAGCTTTACACCAACAGCCAGGCATAATCCTTACTCTAATCCAATGCCACATGGACACCTTTCCTAGGGTACTGAGCCAGCGTTTTGCTGCTGCCCAGAACACCAGGAGGGTCTCACCATCGAGTCCAGACATGCCAGAGGGGAGACTTTCTCCAGCACCATGTACGCATAAAACTATATGCTGTGAGGGAACTGACATTGCAACCCAGTTAGCCAAAAAGAGATCATGGGAGAAAGTTCAGACTCAGCCTTCATTACTCACACAAAAAAACCCAGAGAGGCCTAAGGCAGAAATACCTGGTCAGAAACACCACCTTCATACCTTGTCTGTAAACAGAAAGACACAGAAAACAGATGACCCCCTTCCCATTCCAGCAGATGCCCTCCTCTCAGTTACAGAACCATAGGTTTGTACCCACTAAACTTCAGTTCTTCTTTAAATCTCCTAAGTTCACAGATTTCACACTAAGGTCTTCCATGACCTTTTGAAAGGGTAACCCAGGAACATAAGTCTGTTTGATGTAAAAATTACTTGGTTTGGATACAAAAGTAGTGTTAATAGCAGTCACTGGAATTTGAGGAAATGGCAGAAAGATTACCTAAGGCTGCACTGTGATGCGTCATGACAAACCTGTATGAACTGAAAATAAAGGGGAAAATCCTACTGGCTTCCAATGGCTATATATTGTACTGGTCAGTCCAGTTACTACAATATCTGAGCATCTCAGTCTGTGTAGCTTCTAAACTTCCATACAACTAAAACTGGGCTTAAAGATCAAAGTTAACTTCGTAAAAATCCCCTCGGAATGTGACAGTCTGTTCCTAAAAAGAATTTGCCTACACAAGGGAGCAGGGAATTGGACTTGATGATCCTTACAGGTCCCTTCCAATTTGAGATATTCTGTGAATCAGAGAATGGTTTGGGTTACAGGGGACCTTAAAGATCGTCTAGCTCCAATTCCCCTGCCACAGGCAAGGACACTTCCCACCAGACCAGGCTGCACAAGGCCCCATCCAACTGGGACTTGGACAAAGCCAGTGATGGAGCATCCACAACTTCCCTGGACAACCTGTGCCAGTCTCACCACCAGAGTGAAGAACTTCCACCTAATTCCTAATTTCAGCTTTAAACAAAGCTTAGCTTAGTCAGGTTTACCTGCTGGAACCCGGAGTGGTGTGGTGGGCTCTTCCCCAGGCCCTGCACAGCTTTCGTAGGGGACTGTTGCTGCTGCTGCTGGGCCAGAGCTTGGACCTGTAACTGGCTTGCGGACTGTGCTGTTGCCTGAGCTGGTAAAGATGAGAGGGGTTGCTGGGAAGGAGGTGGTGTTTGCTGAGGTCCCTGGGTCATGGGCCCTGGTCCAGAGGGCCGTTGCTGGCTGTAAGGAATGTGGGACTGTTTCCCACCTTGCACCTGGTTTCCTGCAGGCGAGTGAGCTGTGGGCTGGAGGAAGGTTCCTGGGACAGAAACACCACCTGGGAAGGTGTACCCCGTGCTCATGGAGAAAGCCACAGGAGGGGGAACAACATAGGTTGGAGGTGGAAACCCTGGAAAAGACAAAAACGCACCTTTGATCGCAATTTGGCAGAGCAGATAGCTCCCTCCAAAAAACATTGAGTGAGGTATTTTCCTTCCTTTGTTGCTCATTTAGACCACGAGGACAAGAAGACAATAGTCTGCACAGGTGTGCTGTAAAGTCCTTTCTCACTGTTGCACATACATGGCTGTGATCACAGGGGGATTCAGGATTTGTTCTCAAGTTTCTTGCTTTTTTGCCCCACTTCCTTTTTCCTTCACCATTCTGGGGGTTTTGATGCTTTACCCCCAAAGTTCAAACACACGTGTTTTCAGGGACTGAAGTTCCGGAGTGACAGACAGAAGCAATCCATACATCTACTGCCTCCTCCCAGAGGACCACCTGTCTCAGGATCAACTTAGAGACAGATGGTAAGCAAACAAATCCTCATGTCTGCAAGATCAATTTCTTTCCTGCAGTTCACACTGAAAAGCCAGGTTTTTTAATTCTGTGTCTCACAGGCCAGGTTTCACACTGACATCGAGGTGGGGAAGACATCCCTCTGTCTTACATTGAGCAACCACACCCAGCACGTGCAGGGAAGATACAGCTGCCAGCTATTTTGTGAGCAAACATGGACAGCAATGTATGACAGGAACACCCCACAACAAAATCATGGAATCATACAATGGTTTGGGGTGGAAAGGAACTTAAAAGAACGTCTAGTTCCAATTCCCCTACCATGGACAGGAACATCTCCCACTCGACCAGGATGCACAAGGCCCCATCCAACTTGGTTTTGAACACCTCCAGTGATGGAGCATCCACAACTTTTTCTGGGCAATCTGTGCCAGTGACTCACCAATCTCATAGTAAAAAACTTCTTCCTAATTTCTAACCTAAATCTACCCTCTTCCAGTTTGAACCCATTACCCCTCATCACTACAAGCCCTCATCAAAAATCCCTCCCCAGCTTTCCTGTAGGCCCCCTTCAGATACCAGCTCCCCAGAGCCTTCTCTTCTCAGGCTGAGCAACCCCAACTCTTTCAGCCTGTCCTCACAGGAGACATGTTCCATCCCTCTGATCATCTTTGTGGCCTCCTCTGGAACCGCTCCTACAGGTCGATGTCTCTCCCATGCTGGGGACTCCAGAGCTGGACCCAGCACTGCAGCAGGGGGTCTCACCTGAGCAGAGAGTCAGAATCCATTCCCTTGACCTGCTGGCCACACTCCTTTTGATGCAGCCTTGGGATACTGCTGGCTTCTGGCCTGCACTCAAACACTGTTGGCTCATGTTGAGCTTCTTGTCAGCCAGCATAGTTGGGGACACACAATGTGGCAACAAGAGCAAATGAGACCACGCAAATTACAGCTCAGAACACAAGCACCACTACAAAAGGACTTGAGCTTTAAAGAAGAAAGCTCCGTGACTGATCTTTTGTAATGGAGTCCTGTGCACAGAGAATCCTTCCTCCTGAGCCAGCAGCAGACTTTGTCATGTTTTGACTAACTACAGGGACAGCCTACTGTGAAGTTCCTTGATCTCACACCTACTAGCCAAGAGGGAAGGTGGCACATTTCATGATAGACATTGACTCCAAATCATAAGGAATCTTATTTATCTCATTTCAGTTCTGCCATGCCCTTTCTTTACTAGTTTATAAGACTCTCATCATGAGAATGCATCTTCGTTAAAACAGCTTCTCCCTTCAGAGGCTTCAATAACCACCATTACAGGACTTCCTTTGCAGTCAGCAGTAAAACATGCTTCAAAAGAATGATGCAAGCTACCTGGGCGGCTAGGAAGGGGAGGGAAGGCTCCTGGGTGATGAATGGGGATGAACTGAGAACTGCTGGCCTGACTTGGAGTCTGAGTTACAGGTGTTTTCCTGGCTTCAGACACCGGAGTCTTCCTCATCTCCGTCTGGGATTTCACCTAATGCAAAAGAAAGTAAGAAGAATTTAGATAACTTTTCCTGCAATTGCCCACATCATGTCTCAAGCCAAAAAATTAACTCCCAGATTGCCTGAGAGGTTATTTTCTTTTCCCTGAGTACATGGTAGAGGTTTGAAACACAGGAACCCAGCTCCCTCCTCCTCACTGACCTCAGCAGGGGACTCTGCCTGTCCTCAGGCACTCCTGGCCTCACAAAAGCACTCTAAAGATATCTACCCAGCAGCTGCAACAGGCTCCTTCTCTAGTGAGTGCGTGGGAAGCAGACATGATAATATCCTCAGACCCTACAAAGAACTTACCATGCTGCTCACCTGCAGTGCCTTATGAACAAAAAAACCTCCATATGCTATTATGCTTCTCCTAGGGCAGTAACTCACGCTACTTACCTGCAGCACCTTAAAAAACAGGCACTGACACGTTCTTCCTATGGATTTCCTTCAGCCTAACCCATATGGTGATGTACATCCACAAACTCCTGCATACTGTGGAATTCTTTTGACCAAGAGCATACAAGACAAACAGCAGAGGTGCTTCACCTCCTTCAGTTCACTGTGTAACCGCTGTATGTTCTGTTAAAAGAGCTGCACCAGTTAAAGGCAGAGAGAAGAATGTAATGTAACGTTTACCTGATTCTGAGCCTGCTGCGGTCTGGGTCTTCCTGGAGAGGAAGACAGAGGGGAAGACTACTTTCCCTTTCTGTTCAGCTCGGCAGAACTGCCTGGAATGCAAGATGGAGCAGGCAGGAAAAAGACAGCAAGCAAGGAACCTGGGCAATACAGAAGGGGCCCAGGAGCAGACCTGATGCCAAGCCTCAAAGTTGATTGAAAGAAAGGCTTTTTTTTCAAGGATCAAATTAAAAAAATCCAAACCAAACAAACCAAAACTTTGTGTGGGTTTATTTCAACATTTAGTGTTGCCAAGTTCTGCTAAAATATAGTAGTCAAGGGGCAGATGCATTTAAACACTTAAGTTCTTTTCCAAGTAATTATGGATTTCCCCATTTAGAAATTATGGGAGAGTAGGCTTGGGGTTTTTTGCATTTCATTAAAAAAGTAGATTCTAAGACTGAGAGGTTTGGGTGTGTTTTTGATCTCCTGCTAGAAAGACAGGAGAGAACTGCACCTCAAGGTTCTGGCTGATGCTAAGCACCATGAATGATGCAGCGCCTGTTCATGCCACATCCACTCACTGCCCACCTTCACCTTTCATTACATTCTGTATAATCTACTCACATCGTGCTGTCCCTTTTTTTCTCCACAATAAACCAAGCATTTTTATCACCCATACTGAGAGCTATACATTCTTTTATAACAATGTTGCGGAATCAAACACACTCTTCCTGCCACAGGATTGCAAAGCATGAGCTTTAGTCCATCATAAACTCAAAGCTGCTGTATCACATTTCCAAAGTTGGCTTCCAAAAGACCTCCCACATAATTTAGATAAATTTTAAAATGTAAATAACTAAGGTTGATTAACCAAGACAGACAAGTTTCAGTTGTTTTCCTGCTTCTACTTAACCTCAGAATAGACTGTCCAAAGAGGTTGTGTAATCTCCTTCTCCAGAGACTCCAAACCCACCTGGACACAATCCTGGACAGCCTGCTCTGGGTGACCCTGCTTTAACAACGGGGTTGGATGAGGTGACCTCCAGAGGTCCCTTCCAAGCCCTACCAGTCTGACTCTGACCTCACCTCAAAAGTGTCAATACTACCAAATACTTACTTCCCCTACAGTGGTTCTAAGGGTTCCTACACAGTGCTTTAGAGAAGCACCATTTCATCACAGTGAACTCTTAAAGATTATGTTACACCTTAAGTCTGCATTAAACCTTCCTCAGCATCTAACATTATTATTCCTAGAGAGCAGAGATTCAACCCATGTCACACTCTCATGATCCTGTCTGAGTGTGCAAGTTTTCCACATTTATGAAACAAGATTAATTACTTCAGCATGAATTTCTGAACATCTTTGCTAAGCAGAAGCTGCAACATTTGTAGCATTTAGGCTTTCAAAGGCAATAAACTATGGAGGAGCCTGAGAAGTCCAAGCCCAAATCAGAGCACAAAACAGCAATACGTCAATCAGTACAAAACCTACACTGGTTTCTCAGTGAAGGGGGAAGCAACTCACCCTATATTCTAGAGTAGATCTGGATAAACAAGTCCACCAAACTATACAAAAGGTGTTTCATCGGAATAGTTGCCATAACAAATACAGCTAATAGAACTAAAAAGTCAAAATTAATTTGTTTGACAAGAGATGAAGAGCGACCAAGCACATCAGAACAGATTCTGCTGCAGCTGGGTTTTGAATTTCCTGGGTTTCTTAACAAAGATGACTAAAACAAGCAGATTTCTGATAAATCAGGTGGGTTAAAATTAAAGTGTCTTCCCTATCCAAAAAACTACCCATACTTCTCAAAAAACCCAGGGGGTTTTTATCAGCCTCAAGTCCTTATTTTGCAAGACAGGACCATAAACATCAAATCTGAGAGTTGTGCTCAGGCTTGCAAACACATTCCAGAAACGTCCAACAAATACATAGGAAACCTGCTATTCTAACTCAGATTGGTTTTCAGGTAACAGACTCTTCTTCAGTGACTCACAAACAATTCCTACATAATTTCTGTAGGCCACTCCCCCTCCCCCTCGGTAGGACCCCTCTCAAAACCTGGCACTGCCAGTGTCCATTCCATTTTATAATGATGATGTTTAATAGCAAATAATCATTAGAGCAAGAATGATCCAAGGGTCCTAAGAGCACAAGCTGGTAAGACTGAAAGAGCTGGTTTGTCTAGCCTAAGGAAAACCAGACTTCAATTACACAGGCCTTCAGAGTAGTTACAAAGAGGAAGACCTGTCCTGGGAAGCAGTAGTAGGCTTATGGAGAGGCAAGGGAGATGAAAAGCATTAGGAAATAACTTCCACTTGAATGAACAGTGAAGAACTGGCACAGTTTCTCTAGGGAAATAACAGTCTCCATCACTATCACTAAATGCCTCCAGGTGTCATTGGGGAATGACTAAGATGCAGTCAAACTATCCAGGTACAGATCAGATCAACCCTGAAACTCTCCACCCTTATTTACTACGACCTGATTGAAGTCAGACTAGTAAATGCACTATTTAATTCTGAGGGGAGCAATGCTCACATAAATAGAAGGGAAAAAAGCAGGCCTCTAAAAATACACAACTGATAGAAAGAGCAACTGATGTGAAAAGCAACAACTTTGAGCAAGTGTCCGAGCACAGATGTATGGTTTAGGAGCAGTGTGGCCTTCCTTACTTCCACAGAGGGCCACGGGACTGCACGCACAGGATGGAAGATCTTACTCCAGGTAAATAACTGTGCTTTTGCCATGTCTCTAATTTACTCAATGTGCACAAATTAGCTGAACCAAAAATACAGAGTACCCAGTTCCTTCACAACAGACCAAGAGCACAGTTATGACCTGGTCACTTGAACTGCCTCAGAAGCCTGAATAATTTGTGGAACAACAGGTAGGAATCTGTTTTTTAAGAGAGTTAACATAGCAACAATCATCTTTCATTGCTCCCTACCTTTTCCTCCCCAACAAACTGAGACAGCATCAAGGAAAAGGGCAGAGGCTCAAGGATCATCAACATCTGATCTTTTTGATAGACGTGTTGCTATTTTTTTTCGTGCATTAGCTGTACCAGCAGAGCTCATCATGAGACTCCACTGTGCTCTATACAGGCAGCGATGGCCCTGACACAAGCATCACAGTGCCCAAGACACAGCATCCCTTTGATCTAAAGGCTTACCTGAACTGCCACGTTCTGCTTTCCAGCTTCCTGCACCTTCTCCAAGCCGCACTTCTTGGTCTCGTTCTTCCTTTTGTTGTTGTCCTTCTTGCCGTCGCTCTTGCTGGGCACGGGCGCTTTGCTGTAGTCCCGCCTCTCCCTGCCCACCTCCTTCGAGGGGAACACTCGCCCCTGCTCCCTGCTCATCTCCCGGGGCTTGATATTCTCTTTGAACGTGACCATTGGTTTTTCTCCTGCATCACAGTTGTTGCTCAGGCTTCTGCCAGAGGACAGAACCGATTTGAGTCCAGGGCTCCCATCTGTAGACAGTGGCTCTGCAATAGAAGTTTCCTGCAAGGCGAGACTCTCTTTGGCTTCACTAGGGTCCTCTAGTAAGAGTTCTGGGATTTCTGTCAAAAACAACAGCTTTCCTACCTCATTTTCACACTGAATCAACCTGAAAAAAGACAGAAAGGAACTGAAATGCAATTATATTACTCTAAATACATTTCCTTATCATAACCAGTCCATGAAGCAATGGCACATTGACCCACAGAACATGTTATTAGTGCTGTCAGCATCTTGTATTCACATATATATAATTGCTGTGTTGAATAGGGAGAAGAATAACGTTCAACTCTGGGACCTGCGATACCCAAGCATACAGCAGCAAGTGAAACCCAGAGAAGCTACTTGCAACTACCTGGGCTGGTTATCAGCAATCCATTTGCCCGTGAAGATCAGACGCTGCTCTCGTATCCGACGTTGCTGCCCTTCCTTATCTCCTGTAATTGCCTGGTGGCCTTTGGAAAAATCCAAGTTCCTAGTATTGACATAGGAGAAGGAATAATACTAATTACACAGTTACCCTCTGTAACATCTTATTTCTTTAGAAATACAATTGTTCAGCTGAGAAATTTCACCAGATACTATTCTAATGTGTCTGTTACAGATGTCTGACTTATAGATACAATTCTCTTCTAGTAAGATGCATCTACATTAAAGATGTTTAGTCACTTGGTTTTTTGAAAGCAAACAGAACAAAAACCCAGCAAAAGTTCACAAGCTCATCTGTGTGATAAACAAAACTACAAGAATCATAGCTAAGTGAATACTTGTGGCCAGCAGGGTGAGGGAGGTGATTCTGCCCCCCTGCTCTGCTTTGGTGAGACCCCCTGCTGCAGTGCTGGGTCCAGCTCTGGAGTCCTCAGCACTTCAGAGACAGGGACCTGTTGGAACAGGGCCAGAGGGGGCCACAAAAATTATCTGAGGACTGGAATCCCTCTGGTGTGAGGCCAGGCTGAGAGAGTTGGGGTTGTTCAGCCTGGAGAAGGCTCCAGGGAGACCTTACTGAAGCTTTTCAATACTTCAAGGTGGCCTAAAAGACAGATGGAGATGGTCTTTTTAGCAGGGCCTGTTGTGAGAGGACAAGGGGTGATGGCTTTAAACCAAAAGGAGGCTGTAGGGAGGCAGGTGTGGGCCTCTTATTACAAGCTGCAACTGACAGGACTAGAGGCAACTGTGTTAAGTTATGCCAGGGGAGGTTTAGGTTAGACATTAGGAAAAACTGCTACACTGAAAGGGTTATTAAGGACTGGAACAGGCTGCCTGGGGAAGTGGCTGAATCACCAGCCCCAGATGTACTTAAAAGCTGCCTAGATATGCCTAGGTGCTCAGGGATATGGTGTAGAAGTGGCCTGGTAGAGAGAGATAATGGTTGGACTCGATCTTAAACGTCCTTTCCAACCACAGTGATTCTGTGTGTGAAAAGAGGGTAGATTTAGACTAGGCAGAAGGGTGAAATTTTTACGCTGAGGGTGGTGAGACCCTGTCCCAGGTTGCCCAGAGAGCTGGTTGATGCTCCATCCCTGGAAACATTCCAGCTGAGGTTGGATGGGTCTCTGAGCAACTTGCTCTAGTTGCAGGTGTCCCTGCTCAGTGCAGGGGGGTTGGACTGGATGAGCTTTAAGGTCCCTTCCAACCCAAGCATTCCTTGATTCTATGATTCTGCAACACATCTAAAATTTAATCAGCATTTGTCCATGATTTTAACTGTATTCCTGTACTTAACAGACTAAAACCCATCAAAGTAATAACACAGTTTTCCATATAAAAGTATTCCTTTCCTCACTTCTTAAATTGTTCCCCTCTCAATTTACAAGTCTGAGGACTACAGAAGAAAAACAAAAAAAGTCATCAGCAATATTGTAAGCTCATGACTTTGCCTACAGTTCTACTACATTGTCTAACACAGCTGTTTTGAAAAGATACCTGTAACAATCTATACAAAAGTGTTCACAAAGAAGATATAGTAGAGAACAGGTCAATGTCTATCAAAGTAGTGACATCAGCAAGAGAATAGTCTCCCTCAGCTGTCACTCACCTGAACGAGGGCCTCAGAGCCAAGAATCCTTGCAACTCAAATTCTTCGGGAAGGGGAGTTGCTGACAAATAGATAGTAAACAGTGTCAGGAAAGCATGAAAGCATTGCATACAGTATCATAAGTAGATACCTCAGGAAGGTCACTATACATAACAAAGCTTTCTAGTAACAGGCTCAATTGTACTGGTCCATCCTGCAATCTGAGGGGCTCAGGAAATGATAAAGTAGAGCAGAGTCTGCTCAGCACAAGAACACAGCATTTGCAAAGTGTTCCTATGTCCTAATACTAGAAGACAACTTGCTCCCTTATTTGCTCTTCAACTGTAATTCTCCAGAACATCAGGAAAAACATGCACCATTCCCAGTTCTTTACAGCACAGACCAGAAGTATCCTTACCATTATTATTGGATAGATCCTCTTCATGAGGCTGGAAGCTGTTTAGAAGAGAAATCAGCCAGGGCCATATGCTACAAATCAGAAAACAGACAAACCGTAAGGAAAAACTACAGAACAGGGCATCTGTTCACCTGACCAAGAAAACAATGAACTCTGATTCCCAAGGAAAGGTAAAGTTTCTCTCAAGTGTCAGAAAAAAGACCACATTCAGGAAAAAAATAGAACTTTTAAAAACCTAATCTAAAATTGCCAGGGAAGCCAGGCTCTTGCAGCATAGCATTTATTATCCAGCAAGTCAGAAAACCTGCTATGAATTTTACAAGACAAACCTATTGCGTGAGCAAACCTTCAGAGCACCTGTTACCAACTCATGTTTTCCAGTCCAAAGCTGACAGCTCTCAAGGCACAGCAAATTAATCACTTGGGAAGCAAAACAAATTATTAAGATACAGCTGTAGAGAAGTCCTCGTGTTCTGCAAACTTTCACACAGTACTGAAGCACTGAGCCAGTTACCAGAAAGGTAAGAAGGTCTAAGGAAGGGTTGCACTGAGTAAGACCATTAAACCAGGTGGCAACTGGCAGTCTCTCTGCCTGGTGCTGGCAACACCAGTAAAAGCAATGACTGGAAATGCATTACAAAGGTCCCAGAGCAAATAATTTTTAAAAAGACACAATATCACTGCATAGGTGGTTAAAATTTAACTCCCACCAACAGGCTGCTTTCTCCTATTTTTAAACCCAGAAGTATAAGCATCCTTTAGTGATGGGCACCAAGTCCATGGAGGGAACAGAAAACTACTTGAGGAAGGTGCTCACTGTGCTTGGTGTTGGTGAGATGAATCTGTCCTTCCTCAGCAAGGCTTTCACAGCACGAAAGCCTGAGGTCAGCTGCCTTCCTGCATGGCTGTAGGGACTGGAACATTATATTTATGTTTATTCTATACACTAAACTAGGCAATAGCTCCTTCCCATGATTGACAAGGAGCAGAAAGAAAAAGGAGAGTACAAGTCTGTTGCAACCTACAGTAAAGGGCAATCTTCCTGTACAACATTAGAAATAATGAGATTTCATAATAAGAGATCTCTAAAGAAAAGCCATGCAATGCTACACGAAAAATCCAGACCTAATGTGGCTTCCATATGGCAGGTTGAGAAAACTCATTTCCAAAAACTATATCAATACACACACCTGTACTGACATTGTCATTTCTGCTCTCAGTTCTGGCCTTCAGATTCACCTACTTTTCTAAGTAAACATGTTTCCTTCCTATTTCAGGTGTTCATACCTTTTAGGGTACAATTAATTATCCACAGGGAAATAATAAGCATAGAGTGGGGACAACTAAAAGTTTAAAAAGGAATAAGGATTGTTTACTGAACTAAGAACTCAACTGAGTATGAACCCAAAGTAAGACATTTCAATATAAAACAGACATCAGGTTAACCACTAAACCATGTCCTTCAACAGCACACCTACGTGGCTTTTCAATCCTTCCAGGGATGGGAACTCTACCACTGCCCATGGCAGCCTTGGTCCAGGCCTTGAAGACTCTCTCAGGGAAGAAGAATTTTTCCCTCATGTCCAGCCTAAAACTCCCATGGTGCAACTTGAGGCTGTTTCCTCTTGTCCTATGGCACGTTCCTTAGGAAAAGAGACCAACCCCCACCTTGCTACAACCTCCTTCCAGGGAGTTCTCAAAGGAGGTGGTCACCCCACGCTTCATTTTCTCCAGCTTTAACAACCCTCAGCTGCTCCTCACAAGATTTGTGCTCTAGACCTTTCACCAGCTTCATTGCCCTTCTCTGGACATGCTTCAGCCCCTCAATGTCCTTCTTGGAGTGAGGGGACCAACACTGACGCCAGGATTCGAGGTCTGGCCTCACCAGTGCCAAGTAGAGGGGGACAATCCCTGCCCTACTCCTGCTGGCCACACCAGTGCTGATACAGGCCACCATGCCAGTGGTCTTCTTGGCCACCTGGGCACATGCTAGCTCATCCTCAGCTGGCTGTTGGCCAACACTCCCCATGTGCTTTTCCACTGGACAGTTTCAAGCCACTCTTCCCTAAGCATGGATCATTGCAGAGGGTTTTGTGGCCCAAGTGTGGGACTCAGCATGCAGCCTTGTTGAACCACATGCATACAGTAATACAATTTGTGAACTCTTATTTTCTTTAATCTTGCCTTCAGGAAGCCTGGAATTGAAGTTCCCAAAGCTCCAGGGCTTAGGTTTTGCAAACACTTGAGCAAGTCTTATTATTCATTTATGAAATTGAGGTTACAGGGACCCTTGCTCCCCATACATCAACGTACAGAAAGTGTGACCCTTGGCTAGAAACACATCTTACTGCCAAGCAGACACTGCCAAGAAAGCTGTAACCACTGCGGCACACCACAAAAGATCAGCTAAGCAAGCTGGTTTCACAGTGTTTTCCTTAAAGCAGCCATCCTAGGAAAAATACTCATCATGTCAGTAAGAGTCACTCTGATCTGAAGGTCTTACAGGTCAGACACTATTGAATTGCTATAATTCATTAAAAATTAACAGGCTATAAGAAATTGGGTGAGTTTTACACTTTTCCCATTACTAATCTGTGGGTCACCAGTTATTATTATTACTTTATGCAATGAAATGTATCAAAAGAAAGATTAACACTCACTACCGTCTTTCATCAACCACTGCCTCCTGGAAAACACTGGGCCTAAGTTTCAGCCAGTCCATTGAAACCTTCACAGCTGGAAGAGGATACGCAGCCCCAGAGTCCTCCTGGTAGTCGTTTTGTAAAGGACACTTGCACAGAACTCCAAGAAAGGACACTAGAAAAAAAAGTGCCAAAAGGGTGAGGGAATGACACTTAAAAGCTGACCAAATAACCTAAATCAAGCACATGTGTAAACCCCTACTTTTAAAAGCTAGTTGTTTAGAACAAAGCAGCCCAACTACTTAATCTTAAAAATTCCACCAGCAGATCAGAAAGTCTTTTCTTCAATAAAGTTTTCTACTGTAAAACAGAATCTTAATGTTGCCTTTTTTTTTTCCTTGCTTCTCCTTTTGAAGTGCCATGGCAAATAATTTTGTTAACAAAATCCAGTGAGACAAGCCCATTACAATGATATTAGTTTGTTCACTTATTAGAAATGATCAACACAACTCTCTATCTGCATTTTATTCACTCTTCCAGGTCAGCAGGCACACAAATCCACCAGAGCTAGCTCTGCATGCAGGCACCCAGCTCAGCGCTGTTAGGGCACACAAGCTGACAAACAGTAATCGCACCAGTGTGACCATGGTGCTTTCAGAATCAACTCCAGGCTGAAATCTGGCAAAATTCTAGCTTCCAAAAGCTGTTCAGAAATGTAGGTGTTTATGAACAAGGCCAAAAAATGCCATGTTCTGTAAGGCTTCAAATGGAGTAAGGCCAGTCCACATAAATCCATGGTTAGTCAGCACTAGTAGATATAAATGATCCTGCACAATCATCTTCCCTCTCAGCTTCCTCCTGTAATGTCTATTCTCATCACTTACCTCACAACCACTTAGCTACATACTGACAGCAAATTACTAACAACCTCCGTATAAAACTGTGAGAGAAATAAAAAAAAAACCAAGTTGTTCTCATACTTACTGAAGAGAGCCAGTAACTGTGTCCAGCAGAGCTGCTCGTCCTGGCTGTAGCTGTGCTGCTCCGTTTCATTGCTGAAGTCTCGCAGGTGATGCAGTTGAAACAGATTGATAACAGTAATATGGACTAATTGCTGAGAATTGAAGGCCTTTTGGAATAACAACCTCTGCAACAAAAGACATGTGTGCACAGTATGGATTTTTATATGGTAAAGCACACACTTAAAAGGATTAGGAGTTGCTACTTCACTGCTTGACTAACGCTTCTGCCCTTAAGGCAACAGTCATTCTAGATTTTATTTTCAGGTCATCCCTATTAGCACAGCTCTGGGCTTCCCAGGAGGCCACAGGCAGCTGTCCACTGCTAAGCCCACGGATTTTGCTCGCACACACAACTAATGAACACCCCTTGGACACGATTCTCTTTCGGAGCAAGCGCCACTTCACCGGGCAGCGACAGCAGGGCCGTGTAACTGCAGAGGCACGTGCTGCCGCTGGACTCCTCAGCCTTTCAAAGCAGCAGCACAGAGAAGGTGACATTTTTGAAAAAACACCCCAGGCAAATTTAACTACTGTGTGGTTGTGTTAAAGAGTAAATCCACAGCTGCCTTCATGGGTCATGTGATGCCGTGATGGACTACAATAGCGCAAGCTGTTTACAAACACATTTCAGCAACTATTCTGTAAAAGACACCTTTCTCACAACAGGAAAAGAAGCTTTAATGCCTTTTTTTTTTCCTTAGAATTGTGAATAAAGGAGATAGTCTAAACCACAACCAACTTGCCTCCCTGCCTTTTGTCTGAAGATAAGTTCTCATCAACCTAAGTCAGAAGATCTGCTCTCTAGTAAATTAAGTCTTATATTGCATAATATAAACAAAAAAGTAATCTAAGCAACAAAGCAGGGCTCTGTTAGCTGTCTCTTAACACCCTGTATCAGTTCAGAAAAATAAGACTGTTCCACATGCCTGAGTAATGCTCATAATTATTGATTATAAGCACTGTGGAAAAAGCAGCACCCGTTCAGCAGCCAACATCACCCACAGAAAGAGCGAGACAATTATTTAACTTTGAAACAACATTACTTTAACTCCCAGTATCCAAACAGCTCACACTCAAAACTCACACAATTCACAAGTTCCAGGGTTTGCTTGTTTGATTTAGCTAGCATTAGCAGCCCATTTCAATGCAAAAGTGCAAACAGGCACCATAAAGAACATTTGTAATTCTTCATATTGCTCAGACCACTTCCCCCTTTCTTAATTTGGAGAAGCATCTACTACGTTTGCCCTGTTGAACACATCCACACCACCTGCTCGTTTTCCACAGATGTCAAAGCAGAGCAGTTTCCAAACAGCACCTAATAGTTAATGTATTATCCACTTTGAAATTGTACTACTCTGTATAAATACCTTACTAAATTCTCTTTGTTTCAATCTTTGCTATACTGTCCAGTGTAATGAGTTGGCTGCATAATTAATAAGTACTCCTGGATTTTCCAGAGGAAACACCTTGTAAGTAGTTCTAGTCTACACACAAATTAAGGTTGTACTGGAACATTGTTTTTAAAGGCAAACCACTAACAGGAAAGGCAAGTTGTCTGAGGAAAATTAAAAGCAGCCTTTACAACCAGCAGGACTGAACGCCATCCAGAAATGAAGTTCTCAAAATTCCTCTGGCAGCTGAGTGAAGACCTCCCAGATGAATCAAGTGCTTCTCACAGGTATCCAAGAATCGTCCAGGTTAAAGAGCAGAAAGTCAACTATAGCTATCGATTTCTCCTGTATTTCCACCAGTAATACAGCACATACAAAATGGGGAAAAAAATCCTACTATCTGCAGTTCTATCTGCAGGTCTACAGAACTATCCAGTGTGAGCTGTGATGCAAACCTTCCATAACTGGCTAACTGAGCTTCCTGTATTTTAGCAGGTGAAGAAGTTATTATTTGACTATAATGTCTGAACTTGGCTGCTAAAAAATACTCTCCTCAGTACAGCAGTTAATATGATGTCAGAACTAACCTTGAACTGTTCTTCCAGCTTTTCTCGAAGAGGGCTCAGCTTCTCCAAGCTCTTACTCAGGTACACATGGCCATGGAATTTAATAAACGCCTTGATGAAGTCAGACACGCTCCATCGAGTCTTCACCTCATCACGACTACATTCAAACAGAAACACCCAACATCAGTCTCTGGAATTAAGACACAGCTGCACATAACAGCAGAAACTTTCTATGGACTTCAAGAAAGAAGGAATCTTCACACAAAGTCACTAGTCACACTCAGGAACAACCCAGACACAAACTATCCTTTGTTCCATACAGAACCACCGACTGGTAGGGACTGGAAGGGACCTCTGGAGACCATCTAGTCCGACACCCCTGCTAAAGCAGCATCACCCAGAGCAGGTTGCCCACGATAACATCCAGGCAGGTTAGACATCTCTCCACAGAAGGAGACACCACAACCTCTCTGGGCAGCCTGTTCCAAGGCTCCATCACCTTCACAGGAAAGAAGTTTTTCCTTATTTTCAGATAGAACCTCCTGGCTTCCAGTTTGAGGCCGTTGCCCCTTATCCTGTTGCTGGGCACCACCGAAAAGAGTCTAGCCCCATCCTCTTGACCTCCCCTTTAGATATCAAGAAGCATTGAGAAGATCTCCTCTCAGTCTCTCTTCTCCAGGCTGAACAGCCCCAGGGCTCTCAGCTTCTGCTTGTCACAGAGATGTTCTAGTCCCCTCAGCATCTCTGCAGCCTCCACTGGACTGTCTCTGGTAGCTCCTTGTCTCTCAAACTGGGGCGCCCAAAACTGGACTCAATACTCCAGATGTGGCCTCACAAGGGCAAAGTAGAGGGGGAAGAGAACCTCCCTCAACCTCCTGGCCACACTCCTCTTAATGCACCCCAGGAGACCACTGGCCTTCTTAGCCACAAGGGCACATTGCTGGCTCATGGGGAACTTCTTGTCCACCAGGACTTCCAGACCCTTCTCTGTGGAGCTGCTTTGCAGCAGGCCAACCCCAAACCCATACTGGTAAACCCCTAACCTGTACTGACTACATGTGCAAGGATGCTCTGACTGGCCACAGGTTGAGGATTTTCTGTTACTACTACCAAATATGAGTAACTTCTGGCAAGGGAGGCACATCTGGAAGAAGTCTCCTCTATCTTATCTGAGTACAAATATGTTATGCTTAGTCTCACCTTTCCAGTGCTTTAGAAAGTGCTTTTTGTAGGTTAGTGGAGGCAGCCGGGAAAGGAAACTTCACAGCAATGCTTCTGCAGTAGTAGAAAATTGTGGTCAAGTGGTCTCCTTTGGAGGAAGCTAGAATAGCCAACTGATTATAAGGCTGACCTAGGGGAGAAAAAAACACCTTATTCAACAAATTGTCTTGGAGTGAAGCATGCTAGATTTCAGAATAAGTGTGGTCACTCAGAAAAGTAGCACAAAGTCCTAAACTATCTAACAAAAGGAGGTTCAGAGCCATCTGCTGACCCTTTTACTCCAGCCTCAGATAAGTACCACTCAAATGAAAAAGCTTGTAAATTTGTGGTGCAGGTTTTTTGGTTTGTCGGTTGTGGGGAGAAAACTGGGTATGGGGGGTTTTTGTTTGTGTTTTTGTCTAAATAAGAAGATACTGTCAAAACCAAGCTTTCACCACTAACATTTATCTTCATCTACCCCAGTTTTATCTCATGAGGCAAATCTATCAGCAGTCATTCATATTTTTTGGCTATAGAGTAAAAATTGCTACAGTAAGAATAAAGGTAATTTTTCAATTAGAATATAACTGGCTAAAAAATTGAATTACTGGCTTCCGGAGCCTGGCTCACAAATTATTTATCCTTTTCTCATCATCCCTACATTTTGGACCACAGTAACAGTTAAAAAGCTAGACCCCTGAAATAAAGAAGCCCTTAACTTGCATGAGCAACTTGAAAAATCCAATTTTAGCTACTTAACTTTACAAAATGGCATGTGAACAAACAATACAAGAACAAAGCATGGGTGCTGGTAAATTTTCATTAATTGTACTTTGTAACATATGAATGTAACATAATGCAGCAGCAGTGAAACCTTGGAGTGAAGCCGTGAATTGCCATCTTTGTTTCTAACTCTTCCCAAAAAGAAGACCAGGTTACACAGATCAAGCAAATAGTTACGATCTAAATGATTTACCAATGGGTCAGACTTTGTTGCACAACTGTTTTGGGTACTTGGGAAGGCAAGTTTATAAAGAAACTCAAGTTTACAACCACCACACAAGAAAAGCAACAGTCCACACTGGAATTATGAACCTAAAAGTTATCCCAGACTCACCATTAGAAGGGACAAGCTGAGCTGCATGTCTGTAGTAAGACTCTGCCTGGCTGGTCTGATTTCTATAGCGAGCTAAAAAAAATAAATCATGTTAAGCCAGAAAATTCAACTCTCCAACACCTACTTTAGTATAACCCAGTCTACCTGAAGAGCATTTTACTATTATTTAAAATAAGCACAAGAAAAATACACAATTACACCAAACAGCACAATGTCTCAACAGGTTTAATTTTGAGGTGATTGTTTCTCCTCAGATCCTATGTCACAGCTTATCAGTTCTTAAGTAGAAAGATGCTGTGCCAATAGCATCACATCCAGAAAGCTACAAATATTTTTCATTCTTCTTTACACCATCAGCACCTAGATCTACTTTTAGGGTTGTTCAAAAACTAATTGCAGATTCCAGTAGAAAGAGAATTTCTCCAACAGATAGTTCTACTTTAATCAACAGAAATAAACTGTTCAACTTCATGTGGAAAATAATAGAATCATCAAGGTTGGAAAAGACCTCTGAGATCATTGAGTCCAGCCATGAACCCAACCCTACCATGACCACAAAACCATGTCCTAAAGTACACGTTTGTTTTTTTTTTTTTAATGCCTCCAGGGATGGTGACTCCATCACCTCCCTGGGCAGCTTGTTCCAATGCCTCACCACTCTTTCAGTAAAGAAATTCTTCCTAATATCCAACTGAAACCTCCCTGGCACAACTTGAGGCTGTCTCCTCTTTTCCCACCACTTGTTCCCTGGGAGAAGAGACCCACCCCCACCTCACTCCAAACGCCTTTCAGGGAGTTGTTGGGAGCAAAAGGGTCTCCCCTGAGCCTCCTCTGCTCCAGGCTAAACAGCTCCAGTTCCCTCAGACATCCTCACAAGACTTGTGCTCTAGACCCTTCACCAGATTCGTTGCCCTTCCCTGCACATGCTCCAGCACCAAAGGAAGCCTCGTTTAGGAAAGGCTGGATTTCTAACTGTTGCCTTTTTATATAAGGTTTAAAAGTACCATTCTGAAATGGTGAATTTTGCTAGCCTGCTGCAACAAGCTTTGTAACAGTTACCAGTTTCAACATTTCACTATGCCTGCCAGCTATAACATGATTAGTATACTAAAAGACAGATTCTAGCAAATCACCAGAAAGCTAGTGATTAACTGTCTCCACGTGTTAATGTGTAACACACACTAGAAAAGTCTAACAGCATTATTTCCCAGACCCTTCCCCCCGCAGCAACCACCAAACACAGTCAGCTACTGGCAACTAATTTGGAGCACGCTTGGTCTAGCAGTTGCCTACGGTATGAACACATGGCTGAACGCAAGCAGAACTCAATGCCCCACTTCTTTTTCCTTCCCAAACTCACCAATATCTCCAAGGTGGACAAGGCAGTGCTGGCAGATGTAGGAGCAGGAGCTAGACTGCGGCTTCACTATGGCGCTGGTGTGCGTCTGTTTATTGCTAATGATTCCCAGCTGGGAAGACTTTACACGACATGGCAAGTCTACATTAAAAACTGTGCACAATTCCTGTAATAACTAGAAAAACAGGTCTCGCTTAGTAGCAGCTAGAGACAGGAATCAGAAAGCCATTGAAAGAACAGACAAAACTACCAAGCATCACTTGGAGGCACAGATTAACTAAATATATTTGACATGAACAAGTTTTGGTTACAGACAAAGAGACTCCAAATTACATTCTCCATAGGGTGAAGTCATTGAGCTCCACGCTGCATCATTCTGCCCAGAACCAGGAAGAGAAGTCTGCATCCCAAACCAAAGGAACTCAATTCCCATGATACTTAAATTATCAAGCATGCATCAGCAGAGACTGACTATCACAGGTCTACAAATCCTCATGTTGTTGCTGGTTTGGTTTTTCTTTTTTTTTCTTTTTTTTGTTTGTTTTGTTGTGGTTTGTGTTATTGGTTGTTGGTTTTCATGTTGTTTTGTGGTTGGTTTGTTTTTTTTTTTTCCCTCCATTTGGGGGGTAGAGGGTATGTTTTTTAAGTAGGACAGTCAAGAGGAAGATAGTCTTTCTTGTAACTTGATGATGTGACATTCTCTGAAAATATTGGCAAGGAATGTCACTCATCCTCCAAATCACCTTGTTCCAAGAGAAGAAACAGCTCTCAAACTTTAGAGAAGCCAGAACCAACCCAAGTTTGTAGGCAACACAAGGCAATGGCGGCTAACAGTTCAGAGACTGAATTGCAAGTAAATATCTGTGGTAAACAGTGAGACTCTAAGAAGAAGTTATCAGCTACTTGATCAAACATCTGAAAAGCTGACTGGAGGAAAACCTGAACTCTGCCATTCTAATTAGTTCTTTTGAAATTTTTCCTAGTGGACTCCAGTAAATACTCTGGAAATTACCATCAGCCACATAGCAATGAGAAGCGTTTGTTCTGCTGTGTTAAAAGGTTAAAAATGCAAGTAAGAATTGACAGACTTCTTCCCAGCTGGGAACATACTCAGTCTCCAAACAGACTAGACTGCAGCAGGGTTCCACTTCAAGACACAGGCACGTAGAAAGCCCAGGGCTGACTGAGATTTGCATTCTGTCAAGGGCTAAACAAGCGATGTGGTGCTTTTGCTTGCTGCACAAAGATGTTTGTGCTACACCTTTTACACCCTTTTGCTCTGTCTTTCATACAGTAAACAAAAATCCCCAAACAACAGGGATCTCATGGATGAAAGCTGGATAAAAGAGAAATTTGACAACTCCCAACGTGCTGAATTAGGAGAATTCATGCTCTCTTTCAAAGTTGTCACTTACACAGGCCTCGCAGTTGGAAAGCAGGTATCTTGCCTGAGCAAAATCCTTAGACTAAAAATGAGACATTTAACATCACAGCAAACAGAGAAAAATGGCCCAGTCTGTGGTGTCATACACAAAAAGAGCAAAATTCCCTGATACACCACAGGGAAGAACAAGGCTTTTGCAAGACAAATGGTGAAGATGGCAGAAAACCCTTGGCAACTATGCTGCAGCCTATCAAACTGTCTACTTCAAACATGAAGCTTTCTAAAAAACACTGCTGAATGGAAAAAAAAAAAAAAGGGTTGCCTTGCAGATGTTCAGAATCAAACTAGGATTTGATACAGTAAGAATGACCTACTGTGCATATTGTAACCTGAAGACAGTGCAAATTAGCCATGACAAAGTCTGGTCAGACCACTACTTGAGACAAAGCATTCAGCAGTAACAATGCTGCTGAAGCATACACCAAATGACAGGGGAAAAAGGAAAGAAAGGCAAATTATCTTTATTAAAGCCATTATCACAAACCAACTCTTATTCTCCACAATCTACAAGCAGAAATCTAATGTTGGAAAAGTATGGGAAAAAAAACTGGCAGCAAGGAATAATTACATGAATAAGAATCACCATCCTTTTTGCAATTATCTGAAAACCTTACAAAAGATACTTAACTCAAGAGCACCCAAAAACACAGTTCTGCTTAAGGGAAAGAAAAGTTCCTATAACTGAAGTTTACAGTTCTAAATAATTGTTGACAAAAATACAAAATTAAGACTGAAGATATGTTTCTAAGTCTGGGAGTTGATCAAAAAAACCAGCAAGACATTATATGTTGTAAACGTTACATAATAATCTTTGGGACAATGACTGCACTTAAATGCCCAACCATGGTGGGCACCAATTTAAATATTCTTCAGAAGAAAGCTGTATTTGTATACATAGTATGCAGACAGCCAGCTCTTGGAAAACAACTCAATGCCAACCATTGGCCCCTTCCTTACAAGGACTGGGCACAGAACAAAGCCCAAAACCTGAATCTGCTGCACACTTCCTCAGTGTATCTGCATTTTGGAATTAGAACCACAGAATGATTTGAGAGGGACACTTCAAGGTCATCTAGTCCAACCCCTCTGCACTGCGCAGGGACACCTGAAATTAGAGCAGGTTGCTCAGAGCCCCATCCAGCCTCACCTGGAATGGTTCCAGGGATGGGGCATCTACCACCTCTCTGGGCAACCTGGGCCAGCATCTCACTACCCTCAGCATAAACAATTTCTTCCTTCTATCCAGTCTGTATCTCCCCTCTCTTAGTTTAAAACCACCACCTCTTGTCCTGTCACAACAGTCCAGGCTGCTAAAAAGACTGTCCCCACCTTACTTGATAGGCCTCTTTGAAGTACTAAAAGGCCACCGTAAGGTCTTCCCAGAGCCTTCTGCACACAATTCTGTTCTGGAATAATTAGAGTCAAGAACAAAACTGATTATCCTTCGGTATACAGGGGAAGTATCACACTTTTCAAAATGAAAAGGAATTAAGACACTGGCCCACAAATTCATACATAGTAATGAGAAGGTGAATGAGAATTTTTAGAGAAATGACAGAAAATAAGAAATACGAGTCCAAGGAAATCATCAGTTACCATGTTTGTTGGGCTTGTGGTTTTTGTGTCATTGTTACTCTTGGACAATATAATTAAAATACAGAATTCTTCACTACAGATCACTGCAGAGACAGGCCTAAATGGCTTCAAGAGGACCTGGGGAGTGAAAGGCTACACCTCCTAATAGCCAGATGATTCAGATACATACTAGCTCAGGAAGGCAACAAACGTACATCCACAAAGCAAGACACTAGAGCAAGGAAGCATCACTATGTTTTCCTGCTGCATAATGCTCACTGTGAACAGACTACTGTAAGAATCAAAATAGGAGGCTAAATGGACCTTTGATCTAAACCAAATCAGTGGATTTTAGGCTTTAAAGCAGATTCAATTAGAAGCAAACAAACTCTTGCCAGGTTTTGATGGATTCACAGAAGTTTCAGATCAACTCAAGGCAGTGGCTGATTTAAAGAAAGCAGATCCATAGCTTTGCAGGCACGTTCTGAGAGCACCAGTATTAGCAAGGTACAATGCTTGATATATACCCACAGCCAAAGTATTTTTGGCAACTCACCTGTGTGTAGAAGCCACTAGCTGCCTCTAGGAACAGAGAGAGGTTCGCCTGAACTTCGCTCCGGTTTGGATTCGCTCTGTTCTTTGCCTGACCCTGTAGCGTCGTGATCTGATTTTTAAAGGCATGATTCCAACTGAAAACAAGAAGCATTTTCCTTTTTACTTTGGAAGTGCCTTATGCTCATGGCATAAGTAACAGGAAAGAACTGTTTAATTACATAGCATTAGACACAGAAAAGAAGAACATTCGAATTCAGGCATCATTCAGTTTAGAAACAATGATCAATACAGAAGAATTACCTCATCTGTCATACCTAGGGAAACTGATCCTGATACTGCATAGCTAACATTGTAACAGCATTAAAATTTGCTTGTAACTGTTTGCTTTAGGCAGCATAGCTCTCTTCTGAAAACTGGATGTGGGGTGTAGAAATTTCAGTTAAAAAAGAAAAACCACTCAGCATCTGGAGGCATGGAGAGGACGACTCAGCCCACTGACTCCTCTTGCTTCCCTCACAGTGACAGAGGAACCACGTGCTTCTCTTAACTAAACCTGTTACAACCCATGTCTTCATCTTAAATAACAGAATGGACTCAGGGCACGGAGAAGACCCAGATACTGAGGTGCTCATGACACATTAAGAAAAATTCTCTCCTTACATTCCTCCCTCTGCCCAGCCCTACCCCAGAGGACAAAACGAGGGTCCCTGGCAGCTCCCCAACCCCTGTTAGTCCTTGCTCCAAGCAATTATCACAGGCAAATTTTCTCCTTTCTGGAAACTCCAAACTTCAGCTCTACCATGATAGCACCGAAGGCCGATATTTCTTTTCTCTCCCCTTCCACCTGGCTGACCAAATCCCACTCCTGCATGACATGGCTGCTGATAATTGCCAGAGGTAAAATGTTAACCTGCTGAATGCTCTTCATCGACTCTGTGATGAAATCTCATGTTCCACTCACAGAGCAGCTCTCATTTTAAAGGAAATAAGACATCCTAGGATGTAGGTGCTCTTCTGCAAGTCTCAGTGTTTCCTGCTCATCATCCCAGATTACATATATACATACAAATTTATTGAGGTACTTACAGGTCCTGCTCCACTTTTTTATCTAAAGCATATTCCAAATCAGTCACTAGCATTTTCTGATATAAGTCCTGTAGAGCCTGTCTGGACGTCCAGACTTCTGCTGGACCCAGCTTCGAATCTGAGCAACAAGAAGATAAAACAAAAACACAACATTTTTTGTAATACTCAAATGGATGGAATTATTTGAACTCTTTCTTTACTTGCCCAAAGGAAAGAACATAGCACAGTGAAAGATACCCAAGGCCAAGCACCCGCTTTTATCACGGATCCACTGTAACAGTGAAATAGAACTACAGAGGGACTGGGGATTAACTGATCTGTCTCCTGTAACACCACAACTAGCTACAAGTAAAGTCAGCAGCTGGCAAGCTAAAAAATTGAAAGCAGGTAGGAGGAGGTAATTCTCCATAAGTCATTAAGCTGCAGAACTCCTTGTCACTGGATGAATTTAGAAAAATTTCCAGAGTAGTCTGAAAAAACGACCAGAAAAGAAATCCATCAAGGGGTGCTAAGTAGGAGTCCCTGGAGCCAACACTGCTGGTATTTGGGACAACGCAGTGGGCAAGTAAAATCACATGCTTGCCATTTTCCAACTCCTTGGTAGCCATCTGCTTTCCAGCACTGAGGGTGGATACAAACAGTGCTCTCTATCTTGAGTTAAGAGTCTGATTTCCCATGCCTTGTAAAACCACCTGAGCTGAGGCTGCAGGAGCACAAGGGATGGCCTCACCTGTCACAGGGAAACTGTTCTGCTAATGGTGTCTAACCCATCCTGCTGGGTTAGATGGATCCAGGTAGCTATAATGTTCCTGTGGGGGACTACACCAGTCTGCTACAGGTACTACACCAAGGTGGCAAACAAGGCTAAGGTTCATTACACAAGCTGCTTATACTGCATGGCTGATACACTCACACAAACCACTTCCATTTTGCTTAAACATGTACAGCTTAAAACACAGATTGCAGCATTCTGTAGCATCTACAGGTGACGCTATCACAACATGTGGTAGCGTTCGGATCAGTGTTTCCATCACTCAAGTTTCCCAAAAGCATCCAGATCCTTGCTAATCAAGGTACAGCAGTTCCTATGGTAGTCTGGACAGGAGTTTCTCTCATCCCCAAAAGAACACCGTAATGGGAGAGGAATATGGAGCATGACTTCCATCTCCAAATGCTTTAAAACACCTAAAGTCAAATTGAAATACAAGGTTTTTAGATACAGGAGAGAGGGGCACAGCTGTTCAATTTCTTTATATACAGAGGATAAACCTTTAACATAATGTCACACACTTTCCAAAGAATTCTTTGGAATGATAAGCATAAGGAACACAAAAGGAAAAGAAAAACAGGAATCAAGTATTAGCAGCTGGATCAACAGTATAATAAAGGCAATTACCTGTCATGTCAGCCTTCAGGACTTCTGCCTGCCTGTAAGAAAGTAATAAAACAATAAATTAGAAACAAACTGATCAAAATAATTGAATTATGCCAAAGCACATTAATTCAACAGTGAGTAGATAGAGCGGGGCCAGCTCCATAGAGGCTGCTCACAACCTACACTGCAGTTTACCCCACACAGTACAGATGTTTAACTGTCTGATTTCTTCTAATTCACACTTTTCCCTGTGAAAAGAGGGCTTCCCCACAGTAGGAGCAAAGCAAACTCCCATGGGTGCCCATCAGCACAGCCCTCCAACCCCTCCATGTTGCACTGGCTTGCTTTAAGGAGAGGCAATAAAAGACTGTGCTTTCCCCATTTTCCTCTCTTCCTTGCACTGCCTTCCTAAAGTCATGGTTTGAACAAGTTTTCAAGAAAATGAAACATAGAACATATAGAAAGAATGGCAACTACAGGTGACCAACTATCACTCCTTCACTGAATATCCTCTGCAAATCCCCACTGCTGGTGGAGGCTGGCAAATAGTTTCTTGAATAAAGGAACACCAGGACACAGTCCTCATTAAATAAATATTTACAAAAGGTCATCAGTGCCTGGATGGAGCAGACAATGGAGTTAAGCACTGTGTCAGTGGTACATAAAACTTCAAGGGGCAGCACTGCTGGCCTGTCTGGCTAATAATGAATTAGCACAGGGCAGGTAGAGGCAGAATGGAGAGAAGGATGCCTGGTCTGGCTGGGTTTTGGTGGAGCAAGTCCCTTCACTTTTGCTACACTCAAATGTTTCCATATATTTGAAAAGAGTGCAAACTTTCCAGACCTGACATGGAATTCTCCTAGCATATGAAACACCCACTTCCACTTGCCTTCCTCAGCAAGAAAACTAGATGAAAGTCACGCTGTGACTACATGAAAGTCAGATTTCCAGCATGTAAAAGAATGGAGAGCCAGGAAAAAGCACTACCTAATCCCTAAAGAAGCTTCAGGAACAAGCATATATTCTCTCTTGTGAATGTGAAGTTGTGGCAACTGTAAAAATAGTTTTTGAGGTCATTCTGGGTTCTACCTACTGGCCGCAAATTCTAGGGAAGGTTTTGAGATCAACATCAGGATTAAAAAGATATCATAATAGAATCATCATAGAATGGTTTGGGTTGGAAAGAACCTTTAGAGGTCATCTAGCCCTACTCCCCCCGGCAGTGAGCAGGGACATCTGCAACTAGAGCTTGTTGCTGAGACCCCTGTCCAAACTCATCTGAAATATTTCCAGGGATGGGGCTTCTACCACCTCTCTGGCAATAAGTGTCCTAGTGCTTCACTAGGAAGATGTATATGGGCAAGTCCCTTCACAAAATTTCTATTTATTAAATGCAAAAATTATCTATAACAACCCACCATTATCTCTACCATTTACTGACCATCCGAGAAGCAACGGGATGCTCCAAGGGCTTTAAAGTTAAGAATATCTTAACTAGTGCCAGAAGTAAATCTGTATATTCCTCACCTGCTTCACATTCTTTTAAGATTGTCTTTTTTTAGTTTCTTTCTTTTAAGAAGGTGTTAATACATTTATTCCACTCCAAACAACAGCATATACTAGAAGAGACAACGTGTTATTACTGGCAGACATGTAAGGAAAATTTTAGATAATATGTCAGGAGGCAGCTGAAAGCCCAAAAACCATGTCTGCTCATCCAGAGGGAGGTAGTGAAAGCCAAGCCCTCCGCAGCACTGCAGCTAGCAGGACTGCAGAGCAGGTGTTGCCCCCTGCCCCAGCCCCAGCCCGGCCGGGAAGCTCGCCTGCGTGCTGCGCCCTGGCGGGTCCGCTCAGGCACAGGGCTGAGCCCCTCCCGCCATGCCCTGACTTGGCAGCTGGAAAGGCTGCTGCTGCTCGGGAGGAAAGGCTGACTTGCTCAGGTGCTGGAGTCTCTCTTTTTTGAAGTTAATGCAGCTTGGCTCGCACTTTAAACACCTGCCTGTTGTGCAAACTTCTTCTTTGAGCTGAGAAGACAACCTGCGTTGCCAAAGCCATGAATCCTCTGGAGAGGCCCCCAGCCCGAGCAGAACAGGCAGCAGTGCTCTGGCAAACATCAGCCCTCAGTTCTCCTCCAGGCAAAAAGGCTCTTGTCCTTTAAAAGCCAAAAACTGCTCCTCTGAAAATTACTTGTGAAGAACTACCTTCCACTACTGTAAGCACGAATCTTTTAAGGGGAAATACAAATAGCACTACTATAAAGGCTTTCTTTTCACAAAGTTTTGACAAGCTGTTGACTGGAGAATTTAGATGAAACGAGCCTCAACACGCACATCAGTGCAACCACTGATGGATGCTCTGTAAGTGTGTGACCCAAATAATATGGGTGGACTTGAACTTTTACCAAAAAGACTTATTTTAGAACATCTTTTTTTCAAAGACAATACTCATGGGCTCAGAGAACAAGAGCTTTAGTACCAACCTCTTCATTAGCCATAAAGCAAACTGCCTTTTATATTTTATAAGCTTGAAGCAAGCTACACTGAGGGAATTATCATTATAATTTTTACTAAAAAGTATAGAAGTTATTTCAATACTTCCTAGGTGCTAAGGGAATTGGTAAAGTAGGTCTAACACCAGCACATTCTCTCTCATTTCCACCTAAACCAAACTTTTATTGCAAAAATCTGCATCTATCTAAGCCAGGATAAGAAAAGGCAGCCTGGGTACCACACTTGTTCTGCATCAGTGTGAAAATATTGGCATCTTGAGAGAAGAGTTATTGCCTTTTCCTTAAACAGGCTTTACTGGAGAGCCTTTGCTGGTGGTGCTCAGAGACTCCTAGTGGGAACAAATCAGAGTTCACTGACAACAGCAAGAGATTCTGACAGTGCAAATCACTGCTCATATCATCATAAGCCTTTTTGTCCATATATTTTCTTGCACTGTCTCATATTGAATTTGCATTAGAATCACTCATTCTGCCTGCCAACAAGCTTGGCACAGCTTCTTTACACGTGTTATCATTTCAAGAATATTCTCGAGTACCTCCTTGACCAGTTGGACTCAGCAGTTCATACTTCAAGTCAAGTTTCCCTGAGTTTGTTCATGCCAAGCCAAATAAGCACAAACCACAGTTTAGAAAGCTATACTTGAAGTATATCTCCATTAAATGACACATCATCTTGATATACTGTGATAGCTGTTCTTTGTAATATATAAATTCAGCCCATGCTTTAGTTCAACTCAGAATTCAAAAAACAAAAGCCTTCCACTCAATTCAGTGAGATAGTTTGACAGCTAAAGGAATTTCCATTTTATTCAAGTGCTTGAAAAGTTTCAGAGCTTTAAGAGATGGTAATCAGGACTTTCTTTTGAAGTTCTGAAAGTATAACATATATTAAAATTTAAGTGCCCACAGATGGCAAAGGAAAAGTCTCTTAAGGACCTGGCAGTGCATAAAGTTCGGTTTTGCAGTAACTCAGAGGAACTCGGACACTGTGCTTAGGCTGGAATGAACCACTGGATTTATTAATGGAAAACAAGACAAGACACATTTTGGTTTGCTGTTTTCCAATTATGAGTGTTCTTGATCAATTAAGTTTTCCCTACGGAGAAAAAGAAAACCAAGTTGTTCCTATAAGCTGGTAAACACTACAGAAAGGAAACCCCATAAATATAGGGATGTCTCTCCCACACACATTTTCAACTGTTTAAAATATCACCCTGAGCGGCTGAAAG